TCTTGAAAAAAACCTCTACAATGCAGTCTGTGAGGTATCCTCCCTTCCCTGAACACCCATGGTATAAGGGGGAGAGGCCCCCCAGCTCTGGGTTAGGTCCTTACCAGTTTCAGCCAATAGGTATGGCATGGGACCTAGTTCTGGGCCGACGGGGCTTCTGAGAAATGTTTCTTTCCCGGGGGTGGGGGTGGAGGAGAGCGGGCAAGAGCTCTTCCATCAGATGCTGTCCTGACTGGATGTGACACTAGGAACCAAGTCATGCATTTTGGGACCATGAGGTCTTGTAACCTGGAGTATAGTTGACACTCTTAGAAGGGCAAGCTGAAAAATGAAAAGAACCTGGATCCTTTCTCATGTGGTTGAGTCACTGAAATAACCATGGAACTAACTCAGCTTTCTTTTGTTCTGTGAAATAATGTATTCTTCTTGTTATTTAAGATATTTGGAATTCAGTTTTCTGTACTTGCAGCTTAAAAAAGTTCTGAATTTGTTCATTGATGCTGAAAGTTTGTTCTTAAACTACAGTAGAATTTTTTTTTCAAGTAATTATGATGTAGGCAATTTACAGCCCTTGGGATTTCTCTGAGGCAACTCATATATGGGCTGGGAGCCGCAGATTTTTTAACTCTAAAAGAGGAGAGCGATTAATTAATTTATTCATTCAACTACAAGTATTTATTAAGCACCTACTGTGTTCCAGACTCTGTTCTAGGGGCTTGGAATACGCCAGTGAACAAAAGAGACAAAAATCCCTGCCCTCATGAGATACATAAAATGAGGAAAACAATGTTAAACAGTAAGTGCTAAGGGGAAAAACATCAGGGAAGGAGGATATGAAGGGCCTGGTGGGAGAATTAAGTGTGAAGTCTTGGATAAGATGGCCAGGGAAGGCTTTACTGAGAAGATGACTTAATTTTGTAAAGAAATAGCAAAGTGAGGGAGATAGCTACTTGGATCTCTGAGGAAGAGTATTTCAGGCCCAGTAACCAGCAAGTGCAAAGGTCCTGAGGTGGGAGCCCTCCTAGCACGTTCACAGAAGGATGAGCGAGAAAGGTAATGGGGAACCCTATCAGCTAGGGCCTCTAAGGACTTTGGTCTCTACTCCGAGTGATCAGGGAAACTATTGGAGGGTTTTGTGCAGAGAAGTGACATGCTTTGACTTATATTTTAACCAGCTCATTCTAGATGCTGCATTGAGAGTAAACAGAAGAGAGACAAGAGCAGAAGCCAAGAGACCAGTTAAGGGGCTATTCCAATAGTACAGAGAACACGATGGTGACTTGACTCAAGGGAGGTAGCAGAGGGCATGGTAAGCACTGGTCACATTCTGGTTATATTTTGGAGGCACAGGTGACAGAATTTCCAAGAGGAAGAGAGGAATTAAGAAAGACGCCAAGATTTCTGGCCTGATCAAAGGAAGAACTGAGTGTCCAATTCTTGAGGTATGGGAAGACCTGTGAGGGGAGCAGGTTTTGACACAGACTAGCAAGAGCTCAGTTTTGGACACTTGGAGATGCCTACAGATCTACTAGGCCGATTTCAAGCAGGCAGTTCCAGCTACGTGAGTGGAGCTCAGGAGAGCGATCCAGGCTGGAGATACATATTTGAGAGTAAAATAATTTCAAGCCATTGAGATTGGATGCAACCATCCTGGGAGTGAGGGAAGACAGAAAAAAGAAGAGTTCCAAAATGTAAAAGCCAGGTTGATGAAAAGGGACCAGCTGGAGATTGGAAAGGAGCATCTAGAACGGTAGGAAGAAAATCAGGCAAATGTCTTGTCTGAAAGACAAGAGAAGAACGTGCTTCAAGATTGCGACAGTGAACAGCTGTGTCAAAGGCTGCTGAGAGAGCAAGTAGTAAAATGAAGACTGAAAGCTGATTCTTGGAATTAACAACATGGTGGGCACCGGTGACTTTGGAAAGAACTGTTCTGTGGAGTGGTAAAGGCAGTTGTTGTGGGTTTTAGAGAAATGCGAGGAGAGAAAGCGCGAGCAGCAAGAGCAGGCAGCCCTTTCAAGGAGTCTGGCTGTAGAGGAAAGACATGGGGCGTTGGTGGGGCTATCCAGTACAGAGGAAATGATTTATGAGACAGGGTGAGGTGGGACAGGTGCTAGAGCAATACCTGTGAGTAGGTGTGAGTGGGATGTGTTGGCCTTTGCCAGGCGTGTGAAGTATTCATCCACAGCAAGGGCGAGAAGGCAGGGTGCATAGACAGAGGCAGAGATCGCTTCAGTTCTTGTGAAGTCAGAAGGAAGGTCCTCAGCTGAGTGAAGATGGGGGAAGTGCTGGAGGTGGAGGAAAGTCTAGTCTGCACTATGGTGGAGAGGAGGAGGGAATACATCAGGGAAATATGGTTCCTGGGCAGCTGTCAGGACCCCTGCGAGCACGTGAACTGAGCGTGGCCCGCAGGGACACCTGTGCGCGGGGGGCGTGGACCCCGGAGAGGCGCTGTGCCAGTGCGTGCGGATTTCAAGGTGAGCGAGAAAGGGGTAAGCGCAGGGCGGTTGAGTTCTAACAGCTTCAAAAAGAGCTTATTCAGATTAAACCCAGACTCCTTTATGTGTTAGCAACCGAGTCAGGCCTTGGTGGCCTTGTGGTAAATCACCCTCCTCCGCAAAGCAGTTTCTGAACACCTGGGTATAGACAGAACGTTGCTGGATTTGAATAAATAGTTCACAGTTGATCCTGCGCGGCCTGTATAAACCTAGCAGTAAAAATATCGGACCCTTCTTGGCCATTCAGGACTTTGAGAATGGGATAAAATAAAGTCGTTTTACTTGAAAATAGCAGCTGATCTTCCTTTAAGAAATCAAATAGTACCTCAGAAAAATTTTGTGCTTTGTGTTCATTTCAATTTTCTTGTTAAAATGAAGTCAAAATAATTCTGGGTACTTTAGCTGGAGAGGCCTAACAGAAAGACGACTGCTCAAGAAGTATGGTTTAGGGATGCTGGGAGCACTCCTGCAAACCAAATGCCCAACCTGGGCACTGAGGCCTGAGGAGCCCACAGAGGTGCTCCCTGACTTTAAGAAAAAGGTCAAAACTCCATGGTCCACAGGAGCCGGCAGCAAACGCAAAGGAGGGCGGCATTTGTGGGTGGGAGGGTGTATGGCAGAGCACCCTCTCCGCTAAAAGAGGCATCGGCTTCCCTGTCTGTTGCCATAGTGAACACAGATCCAGTGTGGCAGGATCTTATAATTTTTCAAATGAATTAAGCCAGAAATCATGACTTCTATATAAAATATCTAATTTGAAAATGTTGGCAACATTAATACAAAGGATAAAAACATTCCTCATGTTTTTCTTCTACCAGAAATTTCAGTTCTTCTACCAGAAATTTCTGACTTCTGTTGTAAAGCAGTAAAAGGCTTTAAAATGCAAATCCTTGCACGGTGAGATTAATACTTCATCTCGTCAATATTTCCTGCGAGACTCTCCGGGAGACAATTCAGCTTGCCTTTGAGAATTGGTTTTGTTTGATGAGGCGGGAATCCTGTGAGAACTCGGGGCTGCTGTCTCAGGCGCCGGTTCATGACGGGTTATTGCTCAGATCACCGACACGAGGTCTAGAATGCTGATGTGCATTATAATCTTTTTATGTATTCTTTTATTTTCACAAGAGAGACCAGGAAAACAGTGGAACGTTTGGACAAGTCAGTAGAATTTTATTTAATGACTTCACTCAAAGGTTGTGCTTTCTGTTTTCTCTTACAATAGATATAATTCTTTTATTTATACAGAGATTCAAAATTTCAGTTAAGATTAAGATTCCTCGAGAATTTTCCTAGAATATACTGATCTACTCCATCTCATTTTCCCTACTTTTGGCTAGATGACTACCTCATTATTTCTCATCTCCCTGCTGAGACATTTGAATCTGAGTATATCCTCGGCAATATCAGTAAACCTACGTAAATAGAGCAGCTCACAGCAAAACAGGAGTTATTCACTCCCCTGAGGAAGGAATAATAATAACAATGGGGGTATTAATATTAGTGATTAGAGCCATTACAGCTGCTACCATTGAATATTATCTACCAAATATGATTCTAGGCACTCTGTATCCCTTACGTCTTATCCTCACAATATCCTTAGTAGTTGGTATGTTTTTTTCTCCTTTTACAAATATGGAAACTAAGTTTCAGAGGGAAGAGGCAACTCGGTCGGAGTGCCACAGATAACAGCAACAGAGCCAAACATTAAACCCAGGTATCTGATTACGTCTTGAGGTTCCACTTATGGTTTGGCCACAGTTCGACAACATACAACTTCTCCCTTCCTGGCCCTTTCGTGGGTTTTGGGATACAAATCCACAGTTCTTGCCTAGAGAAGCGTTATACTCCAGTAAAGGAGACACAACTAAAGATGCATTTTCAAAACAGTGTGGCTGGTGGGAAAGGTAAACACAAACTACTATGCCAGTGTTGAGAGCGTGCGCGTGCGCAAGCTTCGAGCGTGGTCTAGGAAGGTTTGCCGGACGGGATGAGGGTCTGTGCTGAATTTTAAGGAATGAGTAAGAATTAGGTCGAAGAAGCAGGGGGAGAATATTCTGGGTGAGAAATAGAAACAGCTGTGAGGTGCTTTTAGTAAACTGGAAGAAGTTGAGTGCTTTTGCACACTCAAGTGCGAGACGAGGAGCAGGAGATGAGGTGCTTGCCTGTATACTAGAGATGCTAACACTGAGGTGTTATATGGTCAGCCCTGGGAGGGATGGATTGGAGAGCACATTTAGAAACTTTTAGGACTCTTGTTTTTAACTACTTTGTTCTCAGAAAAATTTTCCAAGGAGAGACCATTTATTTTGTGCATACAGTACATTAACTTGCCATTATCACCATGTACATTCTTAAAAGGAAGCACAGTTCAATAACTTCACCTTACGTCAAAGGTAAATCGTTAGTACTAATGAGACCAAAGGAGGACAGACAGCCATTGGCACTGGCCAGCATCATGCATGCATAAATATGGTACCTCTTCTTAAGAAATAAAGATGGACACACTGTCAGCAGAAATCACAAATTTATTAACTCTTAAATATATCAATCAGTCATTTACCATTATGGCAAGAAATATATACAGTGTCCCATGGTAAACTGCAGTGTTTCAAAATGACAGAAGATAATGTGTAATTCAGTTGTGGTGGAGAGAACAAATCACAATTTCCTCACGTCTTAGTGCGGAAGACAAACTTGATCTACGTTAATAATTCAACATCACATGCTAAGTTAAAAGTGTAAAAAAAAACCACTCTATACCTATTTTTTTAAAATACATGTATGCCACGTATAGCCGCTTCACAAAAAGGTAAAAGAAATTAAAAAGGGAAAAATGAGGCCATTACTTTTTCACAGATCTCATTGGCAGGATAACATGGCTCAATACATTTACTGTATATATTTATTTTAAATATATATTGTCTTAAATCGTATAATAATTATCAGAAAAGCTTCAATCCATCTACCATACATCCACTAGCAACAATATCTAAGGTGATTAGTCATGAACACAGAAAGGTGAAATGAGAGAAAAGAGGGAGGGTACTTTTTGTCGTTTTTGTCATTTGCTTCGGCTTTAAAAACAGGCTTCTGAGGATGGTGGGTTACCATTGTTAAAAGAACGCTGAGGAAGCTACCATGCACTAGAAAGCATTTCAGGGAGAAGCCGCCTCACAGCGGCTGAACCAACAAAGGAGAAATGAGGAGGACTAGAAAACCGGCACAATTCCCTTTTCTTTTTCTTTAAACTGGAAAATCCTCACTTCTCGCAGGAAGATAATGTTACTCTGATGCAAGAGGGAAGCTAAAAAAGCACAAGTCACAGAGATCAAGATCAAAACACTTGTGAGAAAGGAAAACACTTGCAGGCCTCTCTAACTTCAGAAAACCAGCCCGTGACGGCGCAGGAGGGCCCATTGGATGAGGCAGAAAGAAGAGCGTCTGCACAAAATCCTGCTCTGCGACCATCGGGGCTTCTCCCGGCCATCTCGCCCCAGTCAGGAGACATGCTGCGGGTGCAGTAGGAACCGACCTGCCTTTTCATAAGTTTAAACAATTCTAATACCTCCAACATAAGTTAGGATCCCTATGTCCAAGCTGGAGCCTAAACCGAATTGAAAATGTTTCAATCTTCTTGACAACTTTTTGTGGGCCCTGAAGATGATCAAAAGTGCTAGTTTAGCTACCTCCAAAAGGCCTCAATTTCTATTTTACCTTCGTTATGTAAATTTCACTTTTTTCTCACAAACTAACAGGAAAAAATAAAAAAGGAAGCAAACAAAAGGAACAGAGAGATGGGATAAAATGAAGAAAACATCACAGATCTGAGAAAGGAACAAAAAATTCAATTCAGCGAATTCACCAGAACAGTGCGAGTATACCTTAAAGTGATCAAACTCGTAAATGATGGGAATTTTTCCAGTTTACACAGTTTGACCCAAAACAACAAGACTTTAGAGGGGAGCAAACTCCCTGACCCTCACTTCCACATTCATAAGTGATTTTGCTCACATATCCCACATTAATTGTTAAACAGCAACGAAACTTTCAGTGAAAAATCATCCATTTCAACCAGGATCACACCAGAAAAATGAAGGTATTTTTTTTTTTTTTTTACCTTTTTTGTTAAACAAACAAGCCAAAACAGATTAACAGCAAAGAGTTTTTAAAAATTTACATTTCTCTTACAAACTGTCATTCAGAGAACAATAATGTTGAAGTCTGTTACGTCTTGGCATAAACAGAGAAACTTGATGAATAGGTTGTACTTGGAATAGTGTGGAATTTTTTTCTGACCTCCCCCTATTGTTTGCCAACAGTAATTTAAGTTTGCATGGAACATCCCCATGGTTGGAGTGTAAACAATGTATAGGAAGGAATATATGACTAGATGGTGCATCACATATGCATTACACGTAGGACCTTCACAACTTCATGCACTCAGAAACATGCATGAAGAGGAGGAGAGGACGGCCCGGGGTCACCATCCAGGTGCCTTGAGAACAGAGAACGCAGAAGTGGCACTGTTGATATTTAGCTGAAAGGAGAAAGAAGGAGGGAGAAATAAATTATACTGTTTTACAAAATATCGTCAAATTGCTTTGCCAAAGATCAGACCAGGCTATGATTTATAACTCAGCTAAATAACAGACTGAAAATACCATGTATAAGAGATCTTCACTTGTGATCATTAAAAGATAAAATACACAAGGCTAAAGAGAAAATATTAAAATAGAAAAGTGGTATTATTTATCTGTCAATTTGTCCACATAGAGCTCAGGCAAAAATAAAGAGACAGGGACCCAGGCTTCAATCACATTATTAAACCTAGGTACAGTCGTCCCTCGGTATCTGTGCGGGATTGGTTTTAGAAGCCCTGCGGACACCAACACCCACTGATGCTCAAGCACCTTAGTCAGCCCTCTGTATCTGTGGAGGTGAAACCCGCGGATAGGCAGGGCTGGCTGCATACATTTGAAGCATTCATGTTTAACTAGACAGACTAATAAATGAATAGTAGCATTCAAACGAAATAGACTAAAAGTTTAAGTTCATCCTTAGTTTCTGACGTTATTAGACTCCTTGGGAAATCAAATCTAGAAGTCAATTTAACAAGGAATTTAGCCTCAAAAGTAGGGAAAACATGATTACTCTTATTTAATTGGAGATCTTGTTTCTTTAAACCAACAGCTTGCAGCACTATTTCTTAAAAGCTCTGATCAAGGGTCAGTGTTTTGAGTGGGGAAAATATTCACAACAGGTCCACACATATCTGAATCCTTCTCACACAAGCTAAGAAACAAATCTTAAAAACAACACAAGCATGAATTTAATTACAGTCAACTTTCAATTATCCTCTGGAATTACTCACTTCGTGAGTTTTAAATTTCAGCTTGACTTCCTCCTGTGGCCTGTCCTCATGGTCAAATACCATTACACTCAGTCAGCCAAGGCAAATTGATTTACATGCTAATCTTAGCCAAGTGCGTCACAGGATTGCAACCTCTTGAAAGACAGTAAGACACCAAAGGATCCCAGAGCTTGATATAAATTAGGTCTGGATAATTGAGAGTTGTCTGAATTGACCCAGATATAATGGACTTTTGATGTGAGAACTCCAGGATATTCTAAAATGCTGCAATCCATATGCTGAAGCCAGGCTCTTCTCAGCGCTTATTACCTTTCAAATAAGGGTTATGCTTCAAAATGGTGCCAAACATTAGACTCAAGAGCTCATGCAAAAATGCTATGAATTTTCAAAGACCTTTTATGGTTTCCGTTGAGTATAATGCAAGAGAAAACATCCTCAAAGGGAAGAAAAACAGCCATGCAGCTTTTCATTTATTCGCTCCAATCGCAAAGTATCAGGAGCAGGATGTTACTTACAAGCCCCATCTGTGAATGGTTTTCAGGCCTTAGATGTTTTGCCACAAAGAGGTGCTTCCTGAGAGGTTGTCTTTCCCATTTGGAATACAGGGGGGCCTATTAAGAGAAGCCCCATTTAAGCCCCTTGGCATAAAATGAAGTTTTCTTAAATAGGCTCTATCCCATAAACTCATCAGGGAATTGCAGAAAAACCTAACCCTCTAGTACTGTATGAATGTAATTCCTTCTGTGTTAACTGGCAATTTGTGCTGGACCTCTTTGGGGTAAAAAACACACAAACACACAAAATGGATGTCTTCGTTATTGTTATATTCCTTTTGTCTTTCTCTTAATTACACACCTACTGTTTTTAGAACGGATTCCAACTTATCTCGTTTTCTTCTTTGTTGACCCACTTTTTACAAATCCAACAGTGATATATAATTATTAAGGCTATAAAGAAGGCCTTTGAAAACCACTGTGGTACGTTATTAAACTAAGAAATTTTGAAGAAGTCTCTGGAGTGAGTTGAATGGCTGTTTGTATGAACTTGACTCCCCATCCTCCACCCCCAAATATTAACAAGTGATCCTGGTGAGAGACTGTGGAATGAGATCAGCAGTGGGCCAAACTTCTCCTGAGTCTAAACTCTCCCTCTTGATTTCAACTCACCCCACTGCACTGACGCAGGCTTATTTCCCACTATTCTCCTTTACTCCAGTTGGACCCAGCCTTTGTTACCCATAATCCTCTACCCCATGAAGCTAACATCCTGACAGACACTGCTTTTCTTCATGAGGTTCCCTGAGCTTGGACTATCTTCCCTTTGTTCTCTGTTTCCAAATTCCACTCATCATTTAAGACCTTGTCCACCATTGTCTTCTACACAAAGTATCCTTCTAAACTGTTCTAAACAGTTTGCACGTTAGTCGTTCATTCCATTACTCTCAAGTTGGTTATGAACTTTGTTAGATAATTTTTTCTTTGGTATTGGGAATAAGTTTCTTTCTAAACTAGAATACAAGTTCCCTGGGGAGAAGGTCTTTTATCTTCAGTTTTACCTGGTGCAAGTTAAGCTCCTGAGGGATGTGCAGGAACTAGCTACTTATCGACTGGAAGAGCATCACGGCCTCTGAGGGACAGTAGTGTGGGGAGAAAGACACTGAGACCCCTGACACCTGCTTTAAATGCTGTATTTTATAAATTTCTCCTAATATCTGTGACTGAGCCCCAGAGATAACCTATGAAAGGAAGCTCCTGATATTACACTGGCCATTTTAGAAACTCTTCCCACATCCCCTTCCTCTGCCAATAGCGACATTAAAGTCACAAATAGTTTGCCTTATTACATGAATTCCCCCTGATTTAACCCTAAGAAAATAGCTTGATAGGGTATCCTCGAGTTCCTACCTAAAACTATTGTGTACTGCTCCAGGGCAAGGTCCAAACCACAAATGGCCGACCTGATTGATCTTTCCAGAGAATTACAGACTTTTTCTCATGAAACATTTATTCCCACCAATGTAACTGACCACTAGCATTAAATAACATATGCCATGCTTTTAACAGTGGAATAAGAAAAAGACGCTGACCATGGGTATATTAACAAAGAAGCTGACAGCCTGGAAATATTTACTTGATGGGTACTGTTGGCGACCCTGAGCGATGAAAATGAACATTCTGCCACTTTCCATCTCGGCGGTGCCACACACGTGTCTCTTCTGATTGCATTGTCTTTGGCATTCCGCTGCCATCCATGTACTGTGTGAGCCTGATGTATGCTATGCAGGCAGCATCATCGCCTACCAGATGTACATGGGGGTTCAGGATAATAGTGTGGATTGGTTTGTTGCTTTTGGACAAAGCTGAAAGAGAACAACATGAAAACCAGAATTTAATTTCTATGTAAAGTAGATGAAAACCAGCAATAACTTCAATTGGGACCAACGGATGGAATGCCATTCATTCATTCATTCATTCAACTACTACTCAGTTGCACTAATTGAGTGCCTGGTACTGTGCAAAGTATGAAGGAAAAGAGAGCAAAAGTAGATACAGTCATTATTTTCTTTGATTCCCTTGGTAGACAATTTGAAAACGTTGAGGGCAAAAGCTGGAGAGATCTATTTATTTATAATGGGAAGTGGTTAGAAACAAAAGCTATAATGTGAACAGAGATGGAGGAGGCCTGGCCCAGGTGCGCAAAGCAGTTCCTGTCTTTCCAGTGAACAAACCACTGGGGCAGTTGACAGGCTAACCTGTGGCCTTATTCGTTTTTGTTAGTTGGTGAAGTTCATGGGACAAGGAAAATACATCAAGTATCAAGCATGGAGATTGCTATCTTCAAAAAAGGCTAGCCAAGACATGAATTTGTTTCTCCATCTCATCCTGGGACTCCTTTCCTTAGTAGAGCCCATTCCACGATAGTCCAGCTGTGGTCATCCAGTAAAAATCCCAAACTTGGTGTTGGCATGTCGCCTGATCTGCTAGTTCTTTCCTTTGAGTGAGCAGCCCTCGCTAGGTTCAGCCTTCGGTGTTTTGACAATACCTACTTATTCTAATTATTCAGTGACTAAGAGATATGAAGAATTAGTTCACATGACTGATCGGTGATGATACTCTCTTAGATCACTAAAACAGGTTGAACTGTTTTACCTGTTATCCAAAAAATGCTTCCCATTCTCAGAATAGATCTGCATAAATTACTCAGTGCTGGAGTCAGATAAAATAGCACACTGCATCATGAAGAATATGTATTTATGGAACATAATGATGTACAGCGTTATGTTGAAGTAAGTTAAAATATTAATTGGGTTAATTCTTTTACTAGAGATGAGATGGTGTCAACTGAGAGTAAAATGAAGGAAACACTATGAAATGCTGTCAATCAGAGTGCTGGAATGCAGAGAATATGAGAACATTTACTGAAGCTTTGTTAAGGCCAATTTACCACATAATTATCTTTGTTTGCTTGCAAATGTCTAGTGCATATGAGAAAAAGTGACTCATTAAACATATCTTAAGTTAAAAATCCATGCCAAGGCACAACATTCTTGTCAATGCTTGTAATTACTGAAGTGAGCTTGATGGTCCTAATCATTACTGCAACTCCTCTCATTCATCAAGGTCTTGCTGCAAAAGGTGAATTCACTCTGTGCATCGTGCAAACGAAACACGGTACCTAATGTCTTTAGTGCATGGAAAAGGAGAAGGATACAAGGAATTGCAGGTTTATACTTTTCTTGACGACCTGGAGGGCTTCTGCAGGAGTTTCTTTTGTCACTGTCTCGGAAATATGGCTGTTTCTTCTCTGACAACTAAAATTCTTGTAATCTGAACTATTTATTTGATTACTCATCTTCAGTTACATTTTACTTTGAAAGTGTGCACTAAACATGCTTGAAAGCACTTCTCTGTGTCAAATATTCCAGCATGCTGTGGTTTATTTTTTCATACGTAAGCAGTGTTTTATGAAAACTTGAAATAATTCAACATATTTCTTGGTAACTCATTTTGCAGCTTATATCATACATTTACTTGGACTTATATGGGGTATATTCAATCAATATTACTTCTAATAAAAAAATCAGATATTTTTCAAAACACACCAAAACTTTTAAGCCTGTCATAATTATTTTTTAAGTTTCAAATACAAAAAACTTTTATGATATAAAATGCTGGACTAAGGTAAAAATTCTCATTGCAGAAGAGAGCCAAAGAACCTGAAAATTGGGGGGAGAAATTTAAAGAGAAGTTGGAAAAGGCATGTTATTAAATGTAGAATAAACGAACCATTTTCAAAGTAGAAGCGATGAAAGTCCATCCCTTCCACTAAATTACCCAGAGCTTCAGGTTCAAAAGCAGTGAGGCCTGGGTCACAGATTTTTCTGTAGGAAAAAAATAATGAAAACAACCAATAAACGAGTTAATGTATCTGCAGTTTCACACACATCCATTCTTATTTATCAAACAGTCAGTGAAAGAAAGTGTCTCTAAAAACCACTAAAAATATAAAATTTCTATCACAGGCCTTGGCAAGGTGGGTTGAGGAACAGACTCTAAACAAGCATTCTGCAGAGAACTCTGATGCGGTCAAGATGCTACAACCAGTTCCAGCAGACAATAGCCTACACCACTTTAAAATTTCTACTTTTTTAATTGCAACGTGAATTTTATTCTCTCGACTTATGTTTATTAATTTTTAAATGTTCTCCCTGTCCTATAAAACCAACTTTGGCTCTGAAATTAAGGACTTCTGGAATAATTTTTGACACCTTCTACATTCCTGTCCAACATCTACATTGCTGATTTGACGGCAGGTGTGACATCCTGCACTTCCTGGCGATGTGGACTTCTTTTAAAATAGAATTAATGAGAGGTTCAAATGCACATGTTAGTTTTCTTTTTAATACTAGACATGAAATTTAACAAAGAGCTACACCATTTTAAATATTCAGAGAAAGCAAATGGGCTTCCTTTGGAGAAATTTACTCATTCCACAAAGAACTGTTAAACATCTACTGTGTGGCAGATAGTCTCTGAAACAATTATCACACAACAATTAATACTAGAACAGAAACAAACACAAAGTGCTTAGAAACCAGATGACTTATACATGGGACTGTTTGTTAACATGAGGTGGCTACATCTAATTTTATATGGAAATTCCCCATTTGGGAGGCCAATCATTCAACAGAAATGCAGGTTCAGGAACCTGACTCACTGTGGTTCTTGCAAGTAGTCTTCACAGAATGTGGAATTGATGTTTTTTAAAGGACACTTCTAAAATAGAAAATACTTTTAAAATAAAATCACAGTGGTTATTCTTTGTGGTAAAGAAAGCCGTAAAGGCGGGGTGGGGTGGGGAGTGGGGAGGAATTTCACACTTTGCCTCAGACTTCCCGGTGGGCAGGTACTTTCAAGCTCAAAGTCAAATACATAGAATCTTTCAAAGGAGCAAAATGAGAAGAACAGCATTCCTATGGTAACAAGAATCTGTTCTTCCAGGGGCTATTTCTTCCTTGATAAATATGACGTTTGGTTGTCAGCACTGGTAAATCAAAATTTTTTCCTTCCTTCTATCAGGCAGTTTTACTTATATTAGGTGATTTTACTGCCTTCAAAGCACTCGAGAATCAATGTCCTAGAATGAATCTTTTTACCCAACCATCAAAAGAGTCAACAGATCTTAAAACCTGTTAATCTGTCCTCTCTTTCCCTTCCTCTCTTGTCTGTACGTATGTACATATGTCTCTCTCTCCTCTAACAGGCTTGGGTTAATAAAAGATTCACAAAGCTGCCACTTAACCTTGGCGCTCAGAACAGGTGGTCTAAGGACCAGCTGACAGAGCTGTACCAATACATTCAACCATCCCCAAAGCTCCCAATGGAAGGGCCTGTTGGATTATCCCTGGGCCTGAGTGTACAAAATGAGGCCAGATTACAGGCCTCTGTAAGCAAAGGAATTAGTGAATTCATGGGATTGCAAGGAATTGCATTATTTAAAATACCCTAAAAGCAGATTCTATGGCACAGAGTTCTAAACAACTGTTTAACAGCAAAGTGTTGTCTCTGACAACAGTGTTCTTTTAAATTCCATTTCTTACTATTTCCTTCATCCCAAGTATGCTTTATTAGGTCATGTCAAAGAACTGATGCACACAAATCCATACGCGTGTATGAGCAGGTTCTGTATATATTTGCACACACATTAATTTAGTTTATAAGAAGCAGTCCTGGATTTAATTTAGTTCTTACATTCAGTTACTGTCTTCCATAGTTTATATTTGGCTATTTGTAACTGATGATAAAGGTAATACCTACTTATTACATAAAACTTGAAAAGAAGTAGGAAGAAAACCTTACACATAATTTCATCTCCCAGAGGAACACCTTTTTTCCTTTTTTTCTAACAAATTTTCTTTTTTTTAAGATTGGCACCTGAGCTAACAACAGTTGCCCATCTGTTTTTTTCTTTTTTCTGTTTTTTCTTCCCAAATCTCCCCAATACATAGTTGTATATTTTAGTTGTGAGTCCTTCTAGTTGTGGCATATGGGACGCCGCCTCAGCATGGCCTGATGAGCAGTGCCATGTCTGCGCCCAGGATCCGAACCAGTGAAATCCTGGGCCGCCGAAGCGGAGTGCACGAGCTTAACCGCTAGGCCATGAGGCCAGCCCCATTTTTTCCTTTTTAAAACCAATTTGGCATTAATGCTTTTTCTCATGCAGTTGTAATAATTCTGTACACACACTTCTACATCCTGCTTTATCTTCAGTGAATACATCATAAGCATTTTGCCAGATCACTAGAAAGGTGGCAGGAGCATCCACTGTACCAAACACACCACAGATTGCTTAACAGTTACCATGATGTGGGGCATGTAAGTTGTTTCCAATTTTCCACTATTATGAATATGGCTTCAATAAATATCTTTGTTCATCATTTTTGTCCATGTTTTAGATTCCAAATCCATGCCCATGTTAAAGTTTTATAAGTAGAATTATAGGATAACAGTAATTTGAACCTTTATAAATGCTTTCTGGTGTATACAAAGTGTCCCCTAACCCCTGCCACCACCACCACCCTGAGTGTTTGCCTCACTGATGCTCCATCCAGTGGTGGAGGACAGTGGCTGTGGTCCCGCAGTCTTTGCCGCCTCTGGCTATCGGCAGCGTCTCCATCCCTGCCGATCGGATAGGCTGGAAGTCCTCCTGCCTTCACAGTGGCGTGCACCGAATGAGTGGGCGTGGACATGTGTTTATTAGTGTGTCATTTTTATTTCCTCTTTGCTAACAGTTCATGTCTTTTACCTATTCTTCTACTTCTCAATCTTATCCACTCGATATAAATGAATTTCTGACATGCTTTACAAATATTTTTCCATTTATCGTTTGCCTCTCAGTTTTCTTTTGGCTTTTTAAAAATTAAAGTATACAAGTTTTACCTATTTCGGTAGCCTAATCGTTTTATCCTCTCATTGTGATTACTTCCCTTGCTTTTAAACTTAGAAAGATCTTTCCAACCAGAGACTAGATTCAACCTCTTCTTTGCATTTAACTCTTTCATCCAAGACGACCTCACTTGTACTGCGTAATGGGGGCTGAGCAGGATTTTTATCTCTACCCGAAAAGCTAACTTATTGACCCACATATTTGTGCAATAAGCTTGCATGCCCTACTTATTTGAATGCTTTATTTTTGTTTGATTGAAGTGACTTCCTTTATGTGCCTATGATCCAGTAGTTTATAAACTTTAAATTGAGCATTAGAACCCTTTCTTCAAATAAAATTTTACCTAAGAGACAGACTCATAAAAGAGACGAGGAGGAAGCTGAGCTGTGCCGGCTAAGAGGGAGAAGGCTGCCTGAAGTCCTCCTCTCTCTCTCCGTCCCAGCACCTCTGCAGCACTGAGAGGAAAAACATTTCTTAAACCAAGTGCACTTTTTCACGTGCTTTCTGGTTTCCTGTGCCTTTGCTCTCACGGATGGCTCTGCCTGCCACGCCTTCGCTCAAACGGGAGTGTGGGTGGTTAGGCTTCTGCCCATGGACAGAAATTCCCAATCCTCCTATCTGAAGTCTTGCCTTCTCTCTCTGAAAGCTCAGATACACGTTTATTTCTCTCCTGGGGCTACTTAAGTCCTTACACCTTGAAATAAAGCTATTGTTGACATGCCAAACCTGGGGTAAAATACATATGAATTCAGGGACACTGAAGAATGCCTTCCTATAGAAAACACTGCCATCTGCATGAAAGCAAAATAAATGTGCCTCCACTCACGTGTAAGCTTCAAAGTCCCCATTGTTGATGGCTTCGATCAGCTGTTCAGTGACTTTGATGATCTCTTGCTTTCGTGCTAAAGGCAAAGATATAGAGTTGGGTGAGAATAAAGGACAAAAGCCAGATAAAATACTAGTCATCACTCCTTTCCTTAAACAGGGTATTACCATTTAGGACACATCCCTCGCAAAAGCGTACTGTTATTCTCTCCACAATCTTGCTGCTCAAAGTGCACAGACCAACATTATCTACCTCTTCGGCGAGCCTGTTAGAAACACATTCTCGGGTCCTACTCCAGACACACAGATTCAGAACCTGCATGTTAACTGGACCCTCAGGTGCTTCCTGAGCACCTTCAGTTGGGAAGCACTGCTCCATTCCACTGGTTAGCAAACAGTCGCCCAGAAGGGCAAGGCTTCATTTTTTTAATTAATTCTTATTAACTTTATCAACATGATTGAGTTTGTGAACATTTTTCTCTTAACCATTAACAAAAGTGTTATTAGAAAAGCTAATCTCAAAAAGTACCACTCTACTAATATCTATCCTCAGCGTATAGATGATATCTTGCATTGAGACATTTAACTTTCCTTGCATTTTTATACTGTTCAGCTCAACCAACTTTACAGACGCAGATGCCAACACTTTAACTGCCATCATATTTAGAGGAATGGCCTTCAGTAAACTCTGTAAACTGGAAAAGCAACATATGAATCAATACCATGGATGTAGGCAGATAATCAGCTGGAAGACCCCTGTACAGTGTCAACTCGAACACCAATCATGATTTGTCTTTCTTCCTAGCCCACAAGGGGCAAAATTATGAAGAGCTGGCTTGGCTCAAATCCCACCTATTCAGTAAATTCTTTTCTGATGACATCTGCCCCAAGTGTTCTTTCCGTTTTTGAATGCTTACAGTGTATCATTCACTCGGCAAGTAAGCACAGGCTAGATACCATGACAACTTCCTTAGTTAAAGCAAATTATTGCTTGTTTTAAATTGTTATCAAACTTTGTTCACTGTGTAACCTATCTTCCAAGTTAAATTAATAGGTCTTTGTGGGCAAAGAACATGTTACTTCTTTGTAACATCGAAAAAGCTTCACCCAATGTCTTTAGTGAAATAGATGCTCAGTAAGTTTGTGAATTTGATCAGCTCATATTAGTGATAACCTTTTCTTGATTTCAGAACACTATTCTCTTACTAATGAAATTGATGCATGAAATATTTAAAAAATTAAAGTTCCTTGAATTTTGTGTTAAGAACATTGTAGTACTTCCTTAAATGACTGGAAATTGGGAGAATCACAAAAGGTTATTTCCATTCTATCTTAATGAGTCAGTGAGGCTGCTGTTTATCACAGGAAAAGGTGAAGTCTAGTTTTAGTTTGTTACTGATTAGTTTGCATTTGTTTTTTTTAAAAATTTTATTTTTTTCCTTTTTCTCCCCAAAGCCCCCCGGTACATAGTTGTGTATTCTTCGTTGTGGGTTCTTCTAGTTGTGGCATGTGGGACGCTGCCTCAGCGTGGTCTGATGAGCAGTGCCATGTCCGCGCCCAGGATTCGAACTAACGAAACACTGGGCTGCCTGCAGCGGAGCGCGGGAACTTAACCACTCGGCCACGGGGCCAGCCCCTTAGTTTGCATTTTTAATGAACCTGATCTTTATTAAACAGGTTTTAACCACAAACATGAATGTTTACGTTCACTTTCAAAACTCCAGGTTATCCAGGTTATAATAGTCCTTATTTAAAATAAATGTTCTGTAAACCTAACTTGACTCCACTGAGACTATCTTATAAAATATGATTTGTCCATAGAATGCTAACAATGTCAAGTTAGATAACAACAACAACAACAAAATCACCATATAGGTTAGATTTCATAGTTACATAATTAACTTTCATTTATATTACAAAAAGAAACATAACAGGGTTTCTTAGCTCCTATACAGATCTAAAACACTTCTTGCCCCATTCATTTGATTGATGAATATTCATAATATACCCAACATCAAAACATACTGACAGAAATAGTGACAGGGAATAATTCTGTAATGGGGATGCTGCCAGTGGCACATTTCAGCTTAATTTAGTTAGGCAATAAGAGCTTCATCTGTCTGTGGCCTCTACAGTATGAACATTTGGCAAAAACGCATGACAGCTGGCCCAATTCCGGAATATAAAGGACACTGGTGCTGAGGCGTTCAGAAAATGAGATTAGGGAAATGTGACTACCAGAACTCCCTCCTCAAGTTAAATCCTCCTTTGGAACTCACAGATTTCTTGGTATGCTACATGGCCAACAGGAAAAAACTACAGTTTAGAAAACAACGTCTGTTTTTTAAAACTAATGGAGAAGGAAGGAATGAACCTAAGATCAGTGCCCTTTGCAGAGCTTCATTCGGCTGAGACTCAGTTTACAGAGGGTGGAAAGTTCCGCGTCACTTTCTAAAGCTTCTGAAAGTCTCTGTTCCCTCATAAGCATAAACTGAATTAGCAACATCGAGTGTTGCTGGCCATCTCTCTCTCTGAATCACTGTGGAAATACTCTCTAGATCTTCAACAGTGGACATGCTACAACTGGAGTAATTTGTGTCCTGCATAATCAAAGCAATACAAATTGCCTTCTTCCTTTTCTTATGCTCAGAAACAATGTTGCTTTAGCTGGCAGGACAGAAGATGGGAATGAGCCAGGATGCTTCTGTGCTGCATCATCAAAAAGCAATGTGACTGTCTTGGCTCAGGAGGGGCCTGGAACGCAGTAATCTTTAGACTGCTTATTGCCCTGGGGCAAAGGCGCTGGAGTGAGTCACGGGCAGCACATGACAGCTGACTCTTTAAAGGAAAGCAGGAGGCTGGAAGTGAATCATTTGTATATAGTAGTCTACTGTGGTTGGACTGTTGCCACAGTGACCTACAGGAAGAGGGAGAGTTTGGTGCCAGCTACCGCTACTCCATCAGCAGGGCGGTTAAGGGACAATCACCATGCTAGATGCCTGGATGCCCACGTTCTGTGGAGAGGGGCCACTGTCACCTGGCCTTCCCTCTTCCTGAAGATCAAGTAATGGCCACTCGAGAGTCAAAGTGGGGAGAGCTTGTGCTGTCACTAATTACACAATGTGAGAGAGTAAAGCTTTCCCTGAATGCCAGAAGCTTCATTCACCTCAGAGCTAGCCATTTAATCACAGGGAACTGATTACCAAGAGATTTTATTTATAGAATTGAGGTGCTCAAGCCTATACCCACAGGTTCCTAAGTAGCTTCTGGGGATTTTCAGATTCCTAGGATAAAGGCAGGAGAGAGCAGCAAGTGGAGGGATGTCCCAGATTGTGAGTGCAATTACTTCCCAAGCAGTTATGCAAAAGAACTGGGAACACTGTCATGTTCAAATTCCTATTTTTTGGCTCTTTTATTGTTCTAAAGGCCTGGAAGAGTAAGATAACAGTGTGAATGAATGGTTGCAGTGTTTTTTTTAAAAAAAAGAACCCTGGGAAGTGAAAGTAATTATGTAATAAAACAACTGATAGAATTTGACATTTCTGAAGCATTATCAGATCTGAGCATCACAACAATGCTGTGAGATGTGCAGACAAACGTTATCTCCCTGGTTAATAGAGGAGTTCTTCCAGGCACTGCCCAAAGCTACAGTTTGCTGGGTCCTCCTCTCCACTTTGAACCCTTCCTCCTTTCACTTCTCGCCCGCTTTTCTTACCAATCCTCTGATCACATGATCTCACTCTCGTTGCCATGTTCTCTTTCTGAGCCAGGACTTTAAACGTTTCAATTCCTTTAAAGGCTCAGTTTGAGGCCTTCTTCTCGCCAGGTACCATATCCCTATGGTCCTGTCTGTACCAGGGTTTTAAATTGCCATCTATATCCCAATGATTCCCAAATTGTTACCTCCTTTCAAGACCATTTCCTCCAGGTCTGTGTGTCAGTGCCTATTTTGGAATCTCCGTCTGGATATCACAAATGTATCTTGAACTTAACATACCCTGAACTGAGCTTATGGACTTCTACCACTGCCAGCTTATTTGCTCTTCTCGGGATCTCCATCCTAGCGGATGGCAACGTCATCCATCCAGTTGCAGAAGGAGAAAGAGGCTTGAGAGTCATCTCTGACCCCTTCATCCCACTCCTCCCATACGATCTTTCCAGTCCTGTTGACTGGGCCTTTTAAGTGTCTTACACATTAGTCCACTTCTTTCCTTCTTAATCATCACTCTGGTCCAAGCATCCATCATTTCTTGTCCAGACTGAGTATCAAAAGAGAGACTAGGAAACCTTGCATTATCTGGACCCTTCCCATCTCACAAGACGTGTTCAAAGGCCCTTTTACTCTTTTCTCTCCACCCCACCCATAGTGCCTTCTCTCAGCAATTCAAAATGGCCATACTTCCTCCTATTGCCACCCTTTCACATAAGCTCTCCTCCTTTCTCGGAAAACTGTCCCCCATCTTTGCTTCCATTTCTTTTATCAGATCTCAACTCAAATATTATTTCTTCAAAAAAGCTTCCCCTAACCCTCATTGTAGGAGAGGTCCCTGAGTTATAAATTCATACATATCCTACACCTGCTGTTTAAAAGCACTTAGTACAACTGAATTTACATATTTATTTGTGTGTATTCGATTAACCAGTTCTTTCTATTACCTTGTAAGCTCCACAGGAGGAGGTGCCTCCCCAGTGTGAGCCAGCATCTAGCATGGCATATAGTCAATGTGTGAAAAATATGTGAATGAATAGTGGGTCCAGAACAAACTCAAGTGCTTTCTGACTCCCAAGCCAGTGGCCTTGCCAACATAATACCATGTTTTTCAGTGATGGTCAGACAGCCTTTAAAAAATTTGCACTGATAAATGGAAACAAGCATAAAGCAGCATGTCTTATTGTTTATTGACAAGGAGAGAAAATACTTTTCAACTTGCCTACTTTTCAACTGACCATCAAATTCCTCTCTCTTCCTGACTTCTTTATTTTTCTAACGCAACCACAATTTTACCAGTTTCCTAGCTCTAAACCTCGGGTTTCTTCTGGACTCTACTTTCTCCTTAGTCCCCACACTGAGTCATCC